CTTTTTTCTGGAAATTTTGCGCTACCAAAGAAATGGAAAAATGGCTCGTTTGTAACGCAGAGGTAACGAAATCGCGCGGGCTTCGGTGTGTATATGCGCAATAGGACTAAGTAATAAAGTATGAAATATTATGAAAAACTTATGTGAATGAAGAGTTTCCTTAACTTATTTCCAAATTAGGTCGGCATTTGCCGACCTAATTCCCACCTGAGGTCGGCAAAACTTTCAATTCACATAATTTTCTCAAAATTTTTACACAAATCTGTTGTACACCCAAAGTTTACTACATGGTGAAATTTTGGTTCCGAAACTCCTCCTCTTGTCCTTATTAGAGCCCAAAATGGCATCAGCAGCCCAGCTTTCTAAGATAGAAAGCGCGCCCCAGTCAATCGATACGCGCGGGAACGGCGTCTCTCATTCCTATGACTGCGTTTCTTTGATATTTTCTCATTCCTTAATCATTTTTCTTGCTTATTTTTTTCCTGTTTCCTATCTTGGTACAGCAATTTGAGTAATATGAGGAATTTGAGCAATTTGGGCGCTTTTGAGCGCTTTTAGGCGAAGTGTGGCCGGTAATCTCGTCGCACAAGCTCAAAACGTCATTTTTGGGCTCAAGGGAGTATTCGTAAAACTTACTGGGATCAAAGGGGTATTCGTTTTGGAAAACCCCGTTTGCCCACCTCGTGCCGGGCCCTGCTTGTGCCTTGAGCACAAAACATGTGGCATTAGCTCTTATCCCACGACATTCGAAAATGTTGACGTTTGTTTCTGAGAAAATGAAACTTATTTATTTGATTGTTATTCTCATTACATGGGAAGTTTCTAGGGAGAGTGCTATAGACATAACAATTACAGTTTACAATGAATCTTAGATATAGTGGGAAGCATGCATTCACTTCGATATCTCGTCGGACTAGACAGAAGTTGGTGTTTGTACAGTTACTTTCCAAGTTACTCTAATATTCCCCAATAGCTTACCATTTTCCTTAAAAAGCTAAGAAATAAAGGAACAGAGTTCCTTGAGAAGTTCCTTACTTGTAAGGTCTAAGGACGCATTTAAAGCCTTGGGAAACGAATTCTTTCATAACACTTCGAAATTTACAATCAACCCCTGGAGCGTCACGTCTCTTTTACTATACGATTGGAGCTCGCTATTCTCACAAGGCTTAGAATTTTCATGCTATTTTTCAATCCTATCTCTCTGTGCTATCACGAAGTTGTTGACAAGTTTTGTAATGTTTCTTATTAATTATCGACGCAGATCAGTTTTGAAATTTTTTTTGGAAAATAATGTGTAGCGACAGAAGCCCACCAGTATGCAGTAAGTTAGCGGGTCTCAATTAGAAGGACATCTGGACACAGGTGAATTAACCAAGTATTTTTCCTGGACGAGGGGGGGGGGAGACAAGAATGGTTCTGAATGAAAGAGTGCTGAGACCTCCTTACTTCTGAAAATGGTTATTTACAACTTCTCGAATTTTTGTGGAACAGAAAAAATTTTGATATACCCACTTCTCCCACTCCCTCAGTCACCCTCACCTCCGCTGTTGCTAGATATCGTCAAATGTAATTTAATGTGCGTACTACACACCGTGCGCGCAACTTGACGACTTGTATATAAGAAATCGCTTATTTTCAGTGCTTTCTCCTCGCTTTCTTGTCTCCTTTGATTTTTTGGTATGTCTCAACTGCTAAGAGCTATAATCCAGTGAGGTTGGCCATTCAGATTTACTATCTTTGATAATTTTGACATATGAATCAGTAAAGTTGGATGATTTTCAAAATTCTTCACGAGCTTTCTTGGGATCAGTAGGCTATACTAAGTTCTTGTTTTTGAAAAATATCACAACAAAAGCACGATCGTCTAATCTTCTTAACGTCATCGAGAGTGAGATGTCACTCACTTCCACTCGATGCCTTCGAGTAATCGCTTCGCGTACGAAATCAAGCCATCTCAACTTCAACTTTACCACTTCAGCATTTAGCCTCAGTACGAAACGTCATTTCTAAACGTGATGTTGCTAATATTTTTACGGCGAATTGCACAATAGAAAATTTGCAATGAAAAATGGCTGTTTTCCTCATGATTTACATGGTAACATGACGGGAGAGAGTCACAAAGTGCGCTTTCAGAGTATTCTCTTCTACTCAGGCAAACTTCTTCAAGCTTTCAACGATATTCGGTTTATTGAAAGCTATGAAAAGCTCGCAATTTTATATCTTTCATGTTAAAGCACTTTCGTATTCTGTTTTTTGTCATGATTACACTGGTAACGAAAAAATTGGCTACATTATCATAAAAGCTAAATCATCTCATTCATTTTTTTTTATAGTAACAATATCTGCCCAGCTTATGAAAACATTATTGGTGGCGAATTTGACTTCTGAGCCTGATCAAAGAAAACATAGTTGTCAGGGAAAAAGGCTAAAACTCCGTTTTAGTTAGTGATTCCTCTGTCTAAGCTCAAATCCTTCAACTTAGACTTATAGTATACAACGAGTTTCTCGCTCGCTATTTGAATTACGGTAAGAATTTCTAAGGGTTTTTTGCGACAATAAGAAGCTGACTTTACCGTTAAAGAAAGTTTAAATGAGCCAAACTTCAAAACTTACTACCATATTTAAGAATACTGACTTTGAATACGGGAAACATTGAAAAGGGGTCCATAATGGAACGATTTAAGCCTCTTAAGGTGTCAGAAACTGAGCAAGTCACCTATCATCTGAGCAGCTTTTTTCCTCTTTTTGACAACCATTTCGCGTAGTAAAATGTAACAGATATTTCGAATGTTTCTCAAAAATATTCCAAACTGTACAGGCCTTTGAGACCGTACAGAAAATTTCAATATCAGATTGTCAAAAATTCCGTCGCAATCGTTCTGAGATTTTTTGGGCAACTTTTGAAATAAATGCTAGTTCATCACAGCTTGAATTGCTGAAAGTTTTCTACAGTAGTATGTAGTTAAATCGTTTTGAATTGCTTTCCAATATCATTTCTGAAATTCCGCAAAAGTTGCTAAGACGAGGAAATCCAAGATTTAAACGGTGTATCACTATTATACAAATTTTGAGTGTCCAAAATGAAATAATGAGGTCATGAATTACAGTGCAGCACTTTCCAACCTACCGATATTTTCAATATCACAACTCTATCAAATTTGCTGAGTTCCTGGTCCCAGTTTGAATCGTTTCCTTCTTGCGAACTAGACAATGTGTAAATGCTTGTGGATATATCCCATGCATTAATTATCTAAGCTACATCATACTCAACAATAAATATGGGGCTAAGCCATTGACATACATGGACCTATATGTCTCGCTATTTGATTCCTGTCCAACAGTTTTTTTGTTGTTGCTGACATCTTGTCACTGATCGTCATTTTTTTGCAACAAATAAAGTCTAAATGCGAAATTCAAGTGTTTAATGAAATTTAGAAGGATCTGTATCCGTTCAGAGAGAAGAAAACTTTTTTGGCTGACGTGTGACTTTCAGCCAAAATTGAACTTGATAAATTCAGTTTGTTTACTTGCTGGTTGGATGTTGTGTTCTTCTAATAAAACAATTCTTATCTTTTCCGAAAATTTAAAGAGAAATTCTCGCCAGTCAATCTCTTCCAGATTATCACATTATTTGTAAAAGAAAATAAAATCGCTTACAAGGCTAGAGAACAAATTCATCTCGTTATCAAAGCCTCAGTGGTATTATAATTACCTTTTTCGTAATCTTGATGGCAGGTGTTTGTTGATAAATTACTTGGTTTTATAGCTAGGTGTCAAAACCCGTACAATTTTCAAATCGACGATTTACATAAAGACTTCAGAAAGAACAACATGTTACTGTAAAAGAGTTTTTTCTGCTTTTTTGATTTTTTCAAAAATCTCGGAAATAATTGTTTTATCTATGATCCAGGTGGTTTTTACTAAAGTGCGATAAGCCTTTTCCCTGAAAGGGCAACCCAGTACCACTTAATTATTTTTAAAATCAGAACAAAGTATGAGAGCTTTCCTTGTTTATTTTTGCATTTGTTGCTTCCAATGGGTGATTTCCTACTAGGCCACAGCAGAGTATAGATAATCTGTATCTAAAATTTTTTATCTATAGTGAGAGTTCATGTTTAAGCAAAGTTGCGGCCGTTTGATCTACCATCGCAAAAAAGTTGGAAATGTTACTTTAAACGTATAAATTTCACTCAACTTGGTGTAGAATTACAAAGAGGATCAGTGAGTTTTCTAATCATAAGAAGAGAAGCTTTTAGGCTACTGCATGTGATCGGCACTGGCTAAATATTTGAACCGAAAAAGAATATCTTTTCTTTAAATTTTAATTCATCTTTCGAACTTCAAAACAAAAAATACTATTTTGTTCTAGCTCTAATTCATTGAAAACCTCGCTATCCTACGGTTTCTTAAAGGGTTTCTGAGCTTAAGTTTTTCTTGAAAATTCAATTTGCACGATCTGAACAGAGCTGTTTGTCTGTAATAGACTATGATCTACCAGAAAAATTGCTTTGCTATAGTAAAACCTTTTTCTAATATAGGAAAGTCATTCTTGCATGTCATTTGCTTCCGCTAGAGTGCGGTCGTTTTAATACGCATCAGAGACCCCCCAGTTGCAAAGATGATGTCACTGTGGCTGTTATAAAAATGAGATTCGCCAAACTTTGTCCAGCAAAAGTTCATTTTGAATTTTGTATGAAGTTATGAGATTAATTCATTAGAACGGTGCCTTGTCTCTATCACACCCAGACAAAAGTACACATGTTATCTTACTGGGAATTGTTCTTGTGTGGGTAATAAGGCCGCCCTCAGGGTGCAGATTTCAGAGGCGTACACATTGATTATATTTTCTTTCTAATTCACCTATGCTTTGCCTTCTTTCCAAAATATTCTCGTTTTTACTGCTTACCAATTTTCTTCCATATTTTCTGGTTCGCCTTGACCGGTCTATGTCCCATCCCTTGCTTGAAGAAATTTTCGTGCGAGTATGTTTTTGCCTTTACAGATTCTTTTTTCAAGGTTCATCCTAAAAGGCCAAATGGTGCAAGTTTCAGTACTTCTCCTCGTCGAAGCTTGTATTGCAGCACAAATCAGGTATATTTTTTCAAAGAATGTAGGAGTGTAAGTTTGTGCATATAAAAGAGAAGGTATAAATAACAATCGGATTATAATAATAAAAATCATCGTGCGTGTAGCTATTAAATTACCAGAACATTCTCACAACTAGCAAGTCAATTTGTTCCCTTACCGTTTTTTCGCAGAGACCACTATCTATAGAGTCTAACCATTACCCAAAGAGTCTAGTAGATTTAACGATTAATATGTTGCTTCTGCGGTGAACAGCATTTGCGCGAAGACCACTGTCTTGTTTGTGAATACTGGCAATCTGCCAGCAACTTGAGCGTAAAATTTGGCAATAAGGCGCGTTCTGCCATTGTTCACGCGCTAATGTTGTCAGCACCGCAAGAGCACTGCTAATCTAGCAAACTTTTGACAGGCTACACTGGCGGCTGTACAAATCATCATATGCAAGTTTCGTATCTTCAACATTTCAAAACTTCGTAAAATGCCATTAGGTATTGTTATATTCTGAACGAATGAAGTACGATGAAGATTTCTGGGTCTCATTTCATGACATATGTAAGAATTTCAAATTCACAAAAAAATATGTCATTTGGCAAATTGAAAAATTTACCAAAATTCGACGATCTTTTTATTTTTCAAATAAATATATGAAAAATTTTCTATGCTAGAATATTTTTTTCGGTGGATGTTCGCAAGGTAAAACGAGCATTCTGCTACAGAAATTTGAAAATCTTTATATTTTTGTTATAATTACTTATTATACACACTGTAGATTCTAGCATGTTCCTCAAGTTTGGAAGTTGCTTCTGAAGTCTTCGATTTCGTATCACCATTATTTCGACAAGACAAAAGTTCTGAATGTTTGAGGCCATAGAAATCCTTTTCTGGCCAAAGTAATGAATATTTAACCTACAAATACGTGTTGTATTACCCAAAAAACATAAATGATCATTTTCAGCCTTGCGGGTGCCCAAGAAGGGGAGACTTTTGATATCTCAGAGTAAGTTTTCATTTTTGTAGACTTTCGTAAATTCTTCAAAACCATTTTTTCAGAAACACATTTGGAGAGCTAATAGATAAACGCGCGCCTATGGATAGATCATCAATGGTTCGGTGAGTTTTGGCTTGTCATGGATTTTACATAAAGTAAAAGATGAAAAATTCACCGCAATCTAAAACCTAAACTCTATTTTCTGGAGAATTTTATCTCATGCTAATTTTCTTTTATGTGAGGTTTTCGATAGCAAGCTGATAGGGGAAATTTTTTGCAAATCAATGCAATTTTTGCATTCCTCTAGCTTGCTTTTTAGAATTACTTAGATTCTTCATAGTGACCAAGTTTTGCATTCGGCCTATTCTAACCCCTGTAAAACATAAAATAATGAACAATTCAGGTATCATCGAACGCAATTTTTCTCCCCTTTCAGAACCTGTAAAATTGCAGACAAAAACGCCATAATTCTCAATTTTAAGAGTGCACACCGGTGTTTCGTAAATCTCAAAATCACCAATTTCCCAAAGCTAGAGTTGCTCATTTATTCCGTATGATTGGTAATAGTAATAATTTAGTTCTGAAACCTCGATACTATGAAGATTTGCAGTGTTATGTGCGTTTTGTGTTATGCGCCTTAACTCAAGATTTTAGTCAATTCAAAATTCTAAATAAAGAGCTGAAGGAACACAACAAATTGTTCTAATTTGCAAACGGTTTGCCCTATCAGCTGGCTATCGAAGCATCTCCAAAGGTCACGAATAAAATTTCTAAAATCAGCGATAGTTAGACAAGGTGAAAATGAAGGGTTGTAAACTTATGTGAACTTACAAAAATACAGTGCTGGCCGTAACTATAAAGCAATTCTCAAAAATCACGGTAATTTGCTCTGTGTTGGATAAAAGTATTTTGAAACCCACTATCGTGTTTGTAAGATAACGCTCAATGGCGTACCGAGGGAGGGGGGGCGCCCGAGAATGGGTCGCGAAATTTTTGAAAGTTACTTAAATGTGTTATAAAAATGTGCAAAGGATTTGCCTTTACTTGTAAATAATTAAAATAATTTTTAAAAAAATTTTAAAAATACAAATTAGCCTTGTAAAAAAATTTTTTCGGAGGCGTGGCGTCAGGCACTCCCCTTTTTCCAGATTTTAGGGGTTGCGGACCCGCAAAAATTTTGAGAAGCACCCCAAAAATTTTTTCGGAATGCGTGGCTAACGCCACGCACCTTCATTAGAAAAAAATTTTTGTCGCGCCCCCCCCCCCCCGAGCCGAAATCCTGGGTACGCCACAGATAACGCTATATCATTGTTCACAACGGCTCCCAATTGCATTGTTTCTGGCCGGAGAAAAATTGAAAAATTTGAAAAAACGCGTTCCGAATTCTGGCCACAGCTATAAGGCCACCTTCTATTTACAAGCAAAACTACACCCTTTGACCCTAGGATTTTTTATACAGTTACACCATCATAATATAAACATCTGTCGCACTTGGGCGCTGTCGCCTTTTGAAAACAAAGTTTATACTGCATTTTTTGCTTTCAAATGCATAAAAACCCACATCATTTCAAAAAACTGCTAGTTTACTGAGTTTTCAAGCACTTATTGAACTCGAATGAAAACATCAGGAATAGTTAAGCCTTTGCAATGACTGTGGTGAAAGGCGCTTGGGTTAACCCTGCATAGTTGCTGATATCCATGAACAAGTCTCAACCTTACCATGGGTATGGGCGTGCTTTTGGGCTAGAAACTCGATTTCCGACGCGCGAAAACTTCTAGTCGGAAGTTGACACATTGTTTGTATGACGATGTACTAATGCAAAAGTTGTCAAAATTTTTGCAAAGACGCAACTTCAACGTTGAAGTCAAATTGCTTCATCTGCAGTTCATTCGTGCGCAGCATATCTAACATCATTCCAAGCTTAGTCCTTTTTTCTCCTCTTTGAGTCATATCTTGCGGAACTGTTGGGAATAATAGGATTTGAAAGTTTTAAACGGTTTTCCGTCCAGTCGAGTGGTTAGAGTAATTCTTGTTTACCACAGTGTGCCGGGACCTCCGGCTAAAAGTATCCATGTTTATGTACAAAAATTATTCCCGGTAGCTTTTTGCCTCGCCAAAATTCTTTTTTCTTTCAATTTATGACGTTATACATTCCCGGTTAGTGGGTAAATAGTCCAACGAAATGCATATGCGCGCGGAATTCAAAATGATACGGCGGGAGTTGTTTTCAACGAATCGTTTCTTTTTCATGTTTACGAACATGATTCCTATCCCAGAGGAAACGGAAAAACCTGTATAAATTATATTACAGCCGTTATTTCTGATTTCACAGATTCGGAAAGAGAGCCCCAATGGACCGCTCTACAATGGTTCGTTTTGGTCGCACACCAATGGACAGATCTTCGATGGTTCGGTATGCACAATCATCTGAACCTATTGATAGGTCAAAAACTTTATATTCATAGTTTATTAGTTGCAAATAGGTAGATTTTTGATCGGAAGTGTCTTACTGTAGGATTACTGTAGAAAGTACAACTATAACTTTAAGATTTGGCAAACGAGCCCCCATGGACCGCAGCTCAATGGTTCGCTTCGGAAAGAGAGCCCCTATGGATAGGTCAAGCATGGTGAGGTAAGGAAATTTTAAGCTCTGAAATTTTTTTTGGTGAAGAGAGGATGCAAACAATGTGATCTAGTAGATTTGGCAATCAATATAGCGTTTCTGCATTTCCGACAACATTTGCGCGTAAAACGAATTGCGCTCTATGGTCAATCGCGCGCAAGTCGCAAGCAGCTTGTCGACATTCGAAGTCACGACATTGTTTTCGCGCAAATGTTGTCTTCATCGCAAGAACACCACATTACCAGTCGATCTTACTGGACTGTATATGTTTTACTATCTCACCTCCTCCCCCCCCCTTCCTATTCGCGCTTTTTTATGAAAGATTTTCAGATTCGGAAAGCGAAGTTACTTGGAGAGACCAGATTTGGCACTGATGATCTAACAAAACACATGCTTGCTCCACATTCATCCTAGAACCATAATTGGTTATCTACATTGACCACACTAATCTCTCTAGTCCTCACTCATTGAATGGTGATCTCAGCACACAGTATGGCCGAAGAATTTGTATTATTGCAAACACTGGTGTGTAATAAATGATGTTGTTTTAATCTCTTAACCGACGCAGTAAGTTATAAATGAAAGCATCACATTTACCCTTGAAAATCTTGTTCTGATTTGAGAATTGCAAAAAGAAAAGTAAAAAGCATGTATATACAAAGGGAAAGCATAGCTTGGACATGCGCTTGGTCACTGTTGTTGTTCGTGTTCGATTAGAGCGCGCTTTCTTGTTGGTGCGGAGAAAAACTGTCGTTGGAAAGCCGGGAGGCTGCTATTATGTATCACACTACTATCACATCTGTTACTTTTGTATACCAATTGGAAGGTGAGGGTAAGGATGTGGTAAAGTTCAATTAAATCGAACAAATATGACGACACCAATTTTTAAAAAAAATATATAAAAAAGTGGTGCTGTATTCTCAACCATTTCTGCATCTTGTTCCTAATTGTTCCTCGAAATTGGTTTCGCTGTGACGAACCACTCGTTTTTAGCTTAATTTCGCCTCTGGCATAGATAGGTCTTCTTACAAATTTGACTTAAGGAATTCGACTCGTGATCCAATCATACGATGTCGCATAGCATCATTACGGGATACGGTACTAGTACGGTAGAGTGTCCATGGCTCGATTTGTTAGAACTTTGGCATCACGAAAATCATCTATACCTGATAATGTTTTTTTTGCTGTGTTGAGGTAAGACCCCCATACAATACATCTACCGTAATCTATAAAGAGCCTTATCATACGGAATGAGTGTCTTTCTTGTTATGAGTGCTTTTTTAACAATAGACCTAAGCCATCTGGACTAGATTTCAGCCGTTGTGTTTCCTACAGAGTAAGTACCTACCGTAAATCAACATGAGTTAGGCCAAAGGCGGATAAATAACCGTGACCAGCTTGTGAAATATTTTCGTAAGCAACATTTAATGAAAATGTTTGTAGCGCATACTCTTTGAAGTTGTGAAAAAATTTTCTTTTAAAATGTCGTTCATGTGGAAGGTCATTTCAGAGCTTTTGCACTTTTGTAGAGCCTCGTTGTATATCCACTTTTATCCTTCAAAATTCTCAGAAATCTAATGAGGTGGTTGGGATGAATAGTAGCAATTCTTGATTCGGATTATGACGATTTTCATGAGAATTGAATCTGTATTTGGTTTCTCACCTGTTGTACTTGACCATTTAAGTTTCAAGTCTATTTAAGTGCAGACCATAATCTACAAATGTACTCTTAGGTCTGTGCTGCAATTTCTTGAACACAGGGAAGAAATATACTATAGAATAAGCCCACTAACTTCCCTTTTGGGAAGTTGACATGTCGTGCATTACGTTTTTCTGCTTCGATGCTTACCTCAAACGTTCGCTGCAAGTCAAAGTTGAACAGAGCACCATAATGAAACACATGGACACGTTAGTGCGAATGAAGAAATTCGGAGAAAAATGCCGTAAATTGATTTAGAAGTGACGTAGGCGTGCTGCGCACGAAAGTGACGCAAAAGTGCAGAGATGACGTTTTTTTTGCGAAATGATGTGAAAAAGTGACGAAAAGGCTTGAAATTAATTTTGCACTCGTTTCTTCAATGCATGTAACATTATATAAACTCGTATGTATAGACGGGTCAGCGCACGCAGAGACTAGTCGCAGTTGCGTCTGACTGAGACAGTGTGTGTTTGGAGGAGGCAGGGTAAGGTAAGAGAGGTGAGAGTGCACTTACTCTGAGAAACGCAGACGGCGTCAGCAATGGTACTGTGTCTCTGCTTGCGATGACTCGCCTATACCAATATCTGTATGCGTACTGCACACTACGCGTGGTATTCAACGATATAGAGCCTAATGTGTGAGTATCATTCGACATAAGAATGTTACCTCAAAATGGTTTCTTCTCACAGTTCATTAGTAAAGAGTCGTGAAGTGCTGCGCATAGTGTGCAATCTCACCTATGAAGTTACACAAATGGCACCACCGTATCTGCCTTCAGGAAAATTCTCCTATCTAGTTAATGCGCGAGTTGTCAAACTGGGTACCATGCTCATTCTGTAAAGCGGTTCGAAGGGATGCAGCGAGTGCGGCACACTAAATGACGAGCCCTAGACATTTGCAATCACGTAAAGGGAAAATAAGGCTTCAGTGGTTTCAAAGGTCGGTAAACAACGCTTTTTATTCTTGAATGGGAACATATAGTGTTTAATGGACCAGTACTCTCACTTGCTATTTAGATATACATATCGTGTAAAAGTGAATTTTACATACACGACACCAAGCGATAAACGGCCTGTCATCTAGTGCGCATCGAATCAACTAGTTATGTACGGCCTCTGCCTGAGCCATTCTTACAAACGATATTCAACCGAGCCATCATATCGGATAATAACAAATTTTGCATCTACTTCAATATCTTTAAACTTATTTTCTGCTCCAATTATCTCACCGAGCTGATGTTTTATTCAGGTCAGTCCTAATCACTATGTCCTATGTCCTAATAAAGCATGACATAGAATGCCAGTGTGAAAGATTGCTCTGACTTAAAAATCACCTGTCCAATATCAAACGAGTTACCGAAAAATTATTATTATGAATTCATATGATAACTATGATTAGAAAAAGTGTGATTGGTTTTTGTTACATTACAAGGAGAGATAGCACATGCAGAAACTACTGAAATCCAGGCAATTGGTACCAGGTGTAACAGAACTGTGAAAATTTACAATATATGGAATTTCAATAGAACCAGATATGCAAAGATTATCTGAATGAAGGCAGCGTTCACCTCAATTCTTCCATGTTTTCATTTAAGGGCCTTTCCGTGGCTTGATTAGTTATGAAGTACAAAATGTGCAAAAGCCCCTCCCCCAAAAAGATCGATTTCTGGGAGCCCCATCCTAAACGCACAGACGACTCAGTACTTGGGTGTGCCTTAGGGTGGGCGTGGCTTGAGAGCACTTAATGAGTACAAGGTTTTTTACTCCACCCGGAAACCACATTGGAGGACCGGACCAACGCAGATGCCCCTCACTTGGAGCCTATTTTGAAGTCAGATACTAGTGGGCTTACATTTTGCCTGGACGCTGCCTTTGAAAGCGTTTTCGCGGATCCTGCTGTGAATCTTGAAGAGAGGCGGAGTCTATGTAAATATAAGTTCTGAACTCATGGAAGGAGTAATAATAAACTTTGTCATCAGTTCAGTTTGAAAGGGATAACACGTAGCGCAAAGTAAAGGACCTTTCACAGTTGCCCTGTGCGAAACGTTCCAGCGCCGTGCCAAAATCCATGTGCACGCTCCCTGTATTGATCGATTGAGTTCCGGCAAGGCATTGGCACGGCGTTGGCACAGCGCTGGAACGGCGTTGGCGTAGGCCACTTTAATGCAGCTTAAAGGGACAATATCGTTTGAGGAAAGTCACAGGAGGAAATTTCATCTTCAACTTTTTTATCTTTTTCTGCTGCTTGATATAGCTTCATAGATTTGCTACAGATTTGCTGACTCCTCATGTCAGTATGCATATTTTACAGTTATTTCTGATTTAATTTTATTGGCTGTGCCATCAGAACTGTGATGCGCGGCATAGTCCCCCCCTCCTCCAGACTTTCTTCATAGTATCAATTCTAAGCTCTTTATTCATCTCTTACAAAGTTTCAAGTTACTTGTTGCACGGTGCACGATACAAAAAACAAACCTGCAGGATGCTCCAGCAAATTCCATTAGAAACCTGATGCCAATTCAAAAGGCTTTTCAAAAACAAAGGCACAAAACTTTTATACAAAAGAATTGAGTGCACAATGTTTCTTAGGTTTTTTAGCCAGAAAATGGCGCTTGTCACGATGTACGAAGCAACAATTCTTTATATATAGTTCGTATTTTTATAGAGTTGAATAGAAAACCGGAACGTGGGCGCTTGAAAGTGGAAATTTGCGACTGAGTTGTTCAGCTTATTTTCCAAAATCACACGCATTTGTTTGTTTAATTCCATCAGCTAACGACGCTCTAAGATACTTGAGAAATGTGAGGAGCGCCAGTAAGAGTCGAACACTTTATGAATGCGGATAGAATAAAAACCATTATTCAATAAATGACGGAATGTATAATAATGATGAGTCAATGCACAGCGCAATCGCGCAAAGGTACTTCGTCGTTGCTGATCGTATACTCTCTCGCTACATTCCAAAAGTTTCTATAAACAATTCTTTCGAAGATTCTTTTGCCCCATTTTTAAGGTTACCAAAAATAGGAGACCTTTCTGAAGCTTGCTTTGAGTTGTACATATGAGCAGTGAATTCTGAAAGGCATAGAAAATTTGCTGGTAGTTCTTCAGACACTAAAAATGAGAACGATCTTGAAAATAAAGCAGATATAATAATTCAAAATTCAGGGTAGAAAGTCGATTAGGATAATTCTTTGAATGAATGTTTATTAGAAATTCATGTTTTTGAATATATATCATTATATAAATTGTGAAAGCTGAAGTATTTCTAGGATTACTTTCACTTAGCATTGTTCAGGCTGCGTCCAAGTTGTCCCGTGCCAGCGTCGTGCCAGCAGCATTCCGGCGCTATGCCAGTGCGTTGCTATGGAAGTACTGAAATCATGTTGACGACGGTGATAGTGTCGTGCTAACGTCGTACCGGATCGTCGAACGAAGAATATGGGTGCCTGCGATACTAAGTTATTGGCACGATCCTAGCACGCGCTGACACGGCGGTGGCACGGCTGGGACCTGGCTACTCTGGATGCTGCCTCATTAGCATAAAAAAGTTATCCTTCAATCATTATTCATATTGTAATACGGATTTTGATATTATTGCAAACTGACAGCGTGAAAAATTTGAGAACTGAGAAATCTTAATTAGAAAAAACCTTTGCGCTGAAATCAAGTTGATACACTTTTACTGAAGAATATCACGGAATTCTACGGTGCGCCTTTTAACAACAGATATTCCTCTCCTCCCCTCCTCCTTCGATTTTTAAGTCCTACTCTGTACTTTCAGTAGCAAGACAACAAATTTTTGAGACAGTTGTCATTCTTTCTTCTCTTCATGGAAGATCGC